CTATAGTCGGCTGGGGTGTTACTACAGCTGCTTGGCCTGAGAGGACGAAAACCACCCGATGTTTCATTTTCACGAGGCTGCACAAAACTTCGGAGGACTGGTGAACTACTGAGGTGTCGCGAACTCCAAAGCAATACAGACGGCAAAGCGTTTTTTCTCTAAGCCTAACCATTCTTGTGTCAGTTTTTCTGGTAGTCTAGTCTGTAGCGTGCTGGAGAGTCGATACCTGGCCTTGAAGTCAGAAAACTCGTTAATCAAATGGACAAGCGAAAACTTCCATGATGGGAAATGGCAACAGCAGGTGTCTCGGATTTTAATACATGCCTCCCTCTGTACTATGCAAGGTGGCAACCAAACGACCGGGCGATCTAAGATGTTGGCCTGGTATCCAGAAGGTGTGAGGTCGAATATCATGTCGGACGGAAAGGAAGGAAAACACATAACTGAAGCAAGTTGGCCAACCGTCGCAAAGTCAGACGTACCCTCGAGGGAAAGTGATTCACCGTCTACAGGCATGCGGTCGGAGTTGTACGTGTCCAGAAAGTCGGGCGATTTTTCGTGGGGACAACGGCAGACCTGGCGAGGAGAGGCGCCGTCAATTGTATCCCGACTTTCACCCTCGGTGCAGCCTTCAGGACAATTCAGTGGATAATTTATCATTTTCGATGGAGGCATCTGTGAAGGAGGCCAAAAGAAACGTTAAAAGGGAGTAAACGCACCGGTTGCATGCGGTGTGGCCAAACTGAATTTACATAAACATTTTATCAATTATTTGATGTGGGACTAGGTTTCCCTAAAAATTACTATGTGCAAACGATGGGTATTGACATTGGTGTTCATTGATCTAACCAAATCCTGGAGTGAAATACGGGATTGTTATTTTGCCTTTAAACTCTGCTCTAGAACGCTTGCCGACAATTGAATAGCAACAAGACCTGCACTAGAAAAGCAGCACCGGTCAAAACGAGGAAAACTGGGCGGGGTATTTCCGAATAGCTTCACGTTCTCGAATCGCCTCACTCAAACTACAGGCCGAGAGGATGTTAGCTTGTAATCGGGTCCATCTGATTGTCTTCCAAACCAAACCCGAGCTTATTGCGACTTTCAACTATATTTTGAATGAACGCCGAAGAATCAAAGAAAAAGCGAGAGACAGATAAAAAAAAGCGGTCTTACTGAGCGCGTCGACAGTACAAGCTGTATCAGACGAAAGATGGGCAAGTGCGAACAGTTGGATGTGGCCACCAGATGGCTAATGACTGGCAGTTGTTCGGTTACCGGTGAAAGCATCCACATCTGGGGCGCCAGAGCCAAGCGCACCTTTATTTGGGGCTGAGACTGTTCCTACA